CACAACTCTCCTCCGACTTGAAACATCGATTCGACCACTTCGGACCAGCACCTTGACTTCGACATCTTGCATGGTGTGTTCTTGTCAGACGAAAGCCGCCACAAGCTGCTCGACTGGCGCCACGAGGCGGGAGCAGTCCTGCACGGAGAAGTGCTAGCTGCCAACTTGTGCCAGTGCCAGCTTCCTGTGTGGCATTGCTGGCAGCTAGCAGACTCTGTCAAAAGTGCAGGTCACAAAAAACAACCTCTGGCACTACGCTGCGAGCTATGACTCTTCGGAAGTGCTGAAGGACTGGACATGGCCAACTTCCTGGCTTAGGTCAATTCAGCACAATCTAGCATGTTACTGCCCTTGCAGTGTTGCAGGTCTTGATCGAGCACAGCCGTCGACTCGATGGTTTGCGCCGATTGCATGAACCGAACTGCTCCGGCCCCGGATATCCCCTCATTTGCAAGTCAGTGACGGCGAACCATGCCGAAGAAACGCATATGCGTACTATGACAGCTCTTGAAGGAATCGCCTCAAACCAAGAATGACATTGAGGTGAAGGGTTCACCGCGCTGGACGCCGCCTTACTGCACAACAGCGAGGAGGCGGGCTGGCGTACTGCTCATCTTGACCTCGGCCTTCCATTCTCGAACATGCCGAAGAGATCCGACTCAAAGTTGACGCTGAACGCACAATGAAGAAACACTTGCACCGCCGACTTCCGACCTGCCAAGAGGCATCACCAAATGCAAGCACAAAGATGCAGCTTGACCTGGATCGATTTAGCTTATGCCTGTACTTGTATTCTCCGCCGCCATCGCTTCCCGTAGCCTCGCCTACATTCCTGCAATCGATGCTAACATGCTTGGAAGCGCTGCACTAGCAAAGCGACCAACAGCAGCACAGCAGCACACAGCATCGAGGCACAAGGGCTTTGAGCGTTTGACCTGCAGCCGCTGCAAAAGGCCACACACCGGGGGTTGCACCGATGAAGGGCGGGGAACTTTCATGCCGGAGATCGCTATTTAGGCGGTTTCTCGTTTCATCGGGCACGTGGACAACAAAAAAGCACGATCTATCATGATGTGACCTTCATTCAGGATACTTAAGGTGTGGAAGAGTGTGGAAGCAAAGAGAGATGAAGGTTAAAGAGATGCTCGCGACGGACTTTGGCGTGGACTGGAACCAGGTGCCCAAGCCGGAGGCCGTTCCAAACAGGGGGCTCCTGTTCGACAGACGCTGTTCAGCACCACCGGCATGGAGGAGCTGCCACTGTCCGTCAAGGACAAGGTGCGAGTGCGGGGAGGAGGATGTGGACTACTCGTGGAGGCGCGGGGGCTACGGCGATATGCGAGATGTCAGAATGGCCCCTCCGCATCCCTGCATCCAAGGTGCAACAGATGCACTATGTGGTGGAGCTGGAGAACGGCAGCCGGCAGACCTTCGATAAAGATGATATTCAGAAGCAGGTACCTCCAGAAATAAAGCAGTGTTTCGCCTCGTCCACTGCACAGACCGAAAAGGGTTAAATCATCAGTGCCAAGCTCATCTCCGGCTGTGTAGTTGCAAGGCTCAAAATCGTAACAAACGAGTCCTGAAAAGGGAACATAAGGGACCTTCCTGTTCTCGGACCTGCGGAGCGGAAGCACGTGACAGGCTTCTCCAGCCCTGGGATGTGTTTTTCACAACTACGGATGTCATACTGCCGGTCAATGCCGCCGTGAATGCACTTTTGCACCTAGTCTGACAAAACTCTGTAGCATCCGTTCCTGGGTTGCTGGTACTTGGATGTGCTTCTTTAGCGGTTGTATTCGCGAGGAAGTCGCCTAAACAGAAGCTTTCTAGGAGAAGCAGCTCCACAGCGGAACTTGGCCTTGCGACAAATGGTAGGAGCAGAGACGGGCATTCGTTGAGGAATTGCGCAGACCATGTTCAGAGAATCCCAGGTACACAGACGCGGGTGCCGCAATGGGCAACTTGGCAGCAGATCGGATGAGCTCGACGCTTCAGGGCGCCAACCACAGGCCTCGAAGAAAATCACTTCAAACTGTCTTGTGCTTTGTTGGCATAGTGTGGCACAGCTGTCTGCTGTGCACCTTAATGTCTTTTGTGGTGGCTGCGGCTTAGCTTAGGAGCCTGTGCAAGCATTGCCATCACATTGGCCACCGCCGTCCATTCCCACAGCAGCGAAAGAGAGAAAAAGCGTTTAGACAAAGTCAGACGGTGGTGTCCCCGAGTCCAGCTGTGCAGCGTGCTTGAGCGACTTCTGAGCGGTCTCACAATATGTCTTGAGGTCAAGATTGGGTGGAGAGGGCATGAAACTTGATGTCAGTCAACAATGCAGAAGACACGTCGGCTTGGAGGATTTACCCGAGAGTACGAGTTTTTTTGTTGACGCGCCAGTTTGCTGAGGAGTAATTGCAGTAACTGGAACCGGCTGTCCGTAACAGAAACCTGTAACAGGAACAGAGGCCCACTCCGTAACAGAAACCCCCGGTTCCCGTAACAGCCTCGCAAACTCAGGGACCGTTTTCCGGTCCCGCACTTACAGGACTTCAGACCTATGGGTTGTGATGGGATGCAGTACAACTTTAGTACTGGAAATGCATCGTTTCTGGTCCTGGCTGGATTGTCGTGCTTGGTTGCAGTACAACTTTAGTGCTGGAAACGTCTCGTTCAGGTTCCTGGCTGGATTGCACTTGGTTGTAGTTCAACTTTAGTACTGGAAATGACTCCTTTGGGGTCGTGGCTGGGTTGTGCTGGGTGGTACCAAACCTCTAGTACTGGAAATGCGTCGTTTCGGGTCCTGGCTGGATTGAGCTTGGTTGTACTACAACTTTAGTACTGCAAATGCATCGTTGCGGGTCCTGGCTGGATGGTGCTTGGCTGTGTTATTCAACCCTATAGATGCCCTGAATAAAAAATGCGTGGGCCATATAAGCAAGGGGACCGAAAATTGGTCCCCCAGACAAGACCTCCAACGTAATTTAGGTTGCTTGCTTTCCGGCTGTAGTTTCTGTTACGCTCGTGTTGCGGTTCCTGTTTCTACGCGGGTCGGTTTCCGTTACTGTCTCCGGGACTGGTTTCCGTTACTACCCAAACTGGTTCCCGTTACTCCCCGCACCCGTATGCTGAGCGGACTGAGGGCGTACAATGCGAAATAAGCTTGCACCACCGAATAATCCACAATGGCTCGTGTGTTGCATTGAATCAGGCAGATTCGTACGAATGTCTGCGAAGATTACAGTGTTTTTTTACAAAAACCATCGGGGTTGGGTCCTCTTTTACGTTTTCCAACCGCGTGGGCCGCGGTACGGATTGCGGCGCGGGAGAGAGTCTTCTGCATCCAGCGGGTCCGCCGGGGGTTCCACCGGTGGATGGGGGGTGGGCTGGTGTTTTAATGGGCGGCTCGTGATACTTGGTGCGGCGTGGTCGGGTGGGATTCCACCAACAGGGTCGTGATAGGTGGTGTGGTGGGATTCACCGCTGCTAGGGGCATCGCGATACACGGGGCCAGGGCAGGGCCCCACCGGGCGGCTCGCGATGCGGGCTGCGGCGCGGGACCCGGGCGCGGGCTCGCGAGATTTGCTTTGTGGGTGGTTTTTGGGTTCCCGGGTTGACCTTGTTGAAGAGTGTGCTGTTACGTAATGCAACTTGCTGCAGCGGTAGCCCGGCTCCATCCGTTGAGACCTCTCACGGTGTGCTTCCCGAGAATCTTGGGGGCACACACTGCAAGTGCAGCTAGTGTTCGAAGAAATCGAAGCCAAGACCTACAACGGGCTCGGCCTTCGCGCAGTTTCGCAGAAGGCTTTGAGGCAGCAGCTTTTTTGTATATAGTGGTATAGGGGCGAGAGCCACAACGAGCTCTTGCAGCCAGATTTAGTGTCGCAGGCCGTTTTGTTCTGGGCAGGGGAGTGATGAGTGCAAAACCGCCAAGGACACACCAGTAGCCGCTGGTAACCTACTGGTGGATAGGGTTGTGCGGATAGGGTTGTGTAGAGCACGATGCACTGGCCCTGCGCTACCTGAAATCTCGAATCGCCCTAAGTTAGGGTGAATTCCGGCTTTGCGCAGCTAATTGGACAAACCCCCGTCCTTTGCTTCTTCCTAAGCAAAGTCGGCTGTCAGATGTTCCGAGTAGGCAATCGGTCAGTCAGCTCTCAACGCAGCGCTCGATTCGATCGATGATTTAACATTTAACACACTGCGACGGCGATCTTTTACCATTGTTTTATAGCCCCACCATTGCGGTGGAGTCGTTCCTGTTCAGTTTTTGAACGTTTCGTGTCCAGGCCTTTCGGCCGCGTCGAATCCACGTCCGAGAATCAAGACGGTCAGGTCGAGAAAAGAGCCATGCTGCTTGATCCGTGCAGGCACCGCTGCAAGATGCTGCAAGCAACCCTGTCGTGTTTCACATGTCTTGTCAAATCTGTAGAATGCAGTCTCACAAGAATTTGGTTGGGTTATGGGTGAGTGACGATAGCAACATTTCTTGGCGATTGTCTGGACCAGTCATTGCGCACACTCCATCATGTTTCATCTGCAAGACTGCCAGGTCATGTTTGCTTGCGGGCTTATGGGCATGAAGGTTTCAGACTGCTCAATGACGAAACATCGAGCTTGGCTAACATGATCTTCGCAGCTTCAACCTCACAGCCATGCTTGGCGTCCGTTCTCCTTCCAAGCTGCACTTTCTACAAATCGTCGATTATCATCCCATTTTGATACTGTTCTTGATCGATGCATGTACACATCACAGTTTCCTGAACTGTCGTGGCTGTGTGTCTTTGAAGGGCCCTGCTCCTCCAGCAGTAGTACAACAGGCAGTTTGGCATCTCCGCGACGGTCAGCCATTTGTGCACACCCACCTGTACTTACCTACCCAAATGCATGCGGCCACGCGGGCCTGCTCGGTGCAAGGGTGAGGACTGGCTGCCAGCTAGTGCTCTTTGGCTCTGAGGGCGGTAGAGGGGACAGCGCTGTGGTCTTACCTCCGGCATCTCGTTCTTTCCATGCTGCGTGTGTCCTCGTTGCTGGTGGTCGCAGCTGCACATTGGCCTGAAAGTCGGGGGCCATGGTTTGGTGACCTTGGTGATCTTCCTAGCATTCTTGGGCTCGCGACATCCAAGCTATCAGCAAGCACCCGTATGGGCGCATGCACCCTGATCAGCAAGAGCACCATTTGTGATGATACAGGCCGCGGTGAGCCAGCTACCTGGACCAAACTTGTTGGTGCTGGGATTGTAGCACTTTGCAGCGGGTTGATTGGTGGGAAGGAAAATACTAAGCGCAAACTTCAGTTGAACATCATCAGAGCTATGCCTGTCAAGAGGCCCAGGATGACGGAAAGTCTAGCTTTATGTATGGTGTCCCTTGCAAGGGCCCGGGTTGGGCTGGTTTAGACACCCAGCACCGTGAAGGGTAAGGTGCGGAGATGCTCCCCAAAATGGGGGCAGTTGCAGCCACCACGGCGTAGTTCCTACGGGGGGGCTGGTAAAGGGGTATGGGCAAGCGGGTTGGGCACATGCTCTGGGAGGGTCTTCAGGTCTGTTTCTGCCTGGTCAAAACTGAATTGCCGGACACTTCTGTTTGGACTTCAAGTGCCTGCTCAAGACACGGGTGGTTGATGAGTTGACAGCCTAATGGAGGGCTGGGGTGGGGCTCTAGGATGGTGTAAAGGGGCAGATGACGGAAAGCGCAGCTTTACGTTGGTGTCCGTGGGTTGGGTGCGGAGGCGCTTCAAAAATTGGCGGGAAATATTGAGTGGGAGAATCGATTTGCGCAGGTACTTCAAACGTTTGGCGCGGCAAGTGGTTGATACACGGTGTGGGGGAGGCTCTGGGCCCCTATGGGGTAGAGCTGCCGGGAGCAAGGAAAAGCTGCTCATATCTGGGCGGCACGGCCACGATTGGCTGAGTTGACAGTTGTAGGGGTTGGGGGACCCGTGCGGTCGGATAGGGGGCCGTACTGGTTTGCAGCAGCCCGGCTGTGTTCCAAACTCGCAAGCATTACGTCGTCCGGAAAGCATGGCCGGAGGAGCCTCGAAAGCCTCCCGAGATTCGGACTAGGTAGGCATCAGTTGGGAGTTGCGTGCCTTGGACCAGACGAACCTTTGTTTTAGGTTCAACGCCTGGTCTTCCAGCCTTCGGTTGGAAACTGCATGAACATCAACACGGCTCTGCGCCAAGTTGTGATGGTGAGAGGGCGCAGCTTGGATGCAACTCTGCATGCTACTTATCATCACTTGAGCAAGAGAATAAGTGTAATCCGGGAAACGAATTTTCGCAAAGATCCACATGGAACCACCCACAATTGAGTTGCACCGGGTTTGTGCAGGCATGTACTCACCCACGCCCTGCCGGGTGGACAATACTTTCGACCTCATCATCCGGGTGTATCGGAATGGCACGGTCTCGCGCTGGCTGGACAGCGTGACGCCTGGCACTGCGGTGGAGCTAACCCCATTCCCGCCCAAGTTGCCAGCGAACCGCCGCAACCCGGGGCCGCGAGTGGGGCTGGTAGCTTACGGCGTGGGCATCACCGAGCTATATTGGACGGCGGTCGAGGAGCTGAAAGACCCTAAGGTCGAGCAGGTGGTGCTGCTTTACGCCACCCGAACCCTCGACGAGCAGGCCGTCTATGGCCCAGAGCTGGACGAGCTCGCACAGAAGGAGCCGCGCTTCCGCTTGGTGCGGCTATTGTCCCGTGAATGCAGCCCCGTGGCACTCAGTGGCCGTGTGAATGCCACGCTTCTCTCCGATGTCTTCCCGTGGTCTCACGAGCAATGGCGCTCCACAGCCCGCTTCACCGCTGCCGGATCAAAGGAGATGATGACTGCAACTTACGAATGGCTTGCCGAACTGGGATACCCGCCAGACTCTAGCAAGCTGATCCGGGACCTATCGTTTGCTTCATTTTTCGGCTCTCGCTGACCCTATTTTGGGTACATGATGATACATGATCAAAGCTGTGCCCATGCTGTCATTTGCGCAGCAAGGCATGGCAAGGTCAAATTTTGTGCTGCTGCCACGTTCTTTCAAGCTGTGCAGTTTGCGTTATCACACCGGCAGTGCGCCTTGTAAGTCTTGGGCACCGGTGTTGACGGGCATGTACAGACCTGGACCGCATCATGTGACACGAGTGACTTCAGAGTTTAGTAAACGATGATGGCTGTGTGTGCTCTCTCTGTGTCACCCATGCTTAATGTTTAGTGCATTCGGGATAGATGCGAACTGGTTCGGATCACGGCAACGGCAGGTTGAACTGCAGAGGCTGGTTTCCACCCCCTGCACTCCTTCAGACGTTGTTGCACCGCACACCCTGTGACTGTGGCTCGAAGTTGCCGCTCAGTCCTTTGCTCATCCTGGGTTTGCCCTGCAGCTGTGCTGCATGGTGGCAGCCCGAGTCGGCAATGGAAATACCGGGGATCTCTCCTTCCAGGTGTCGACCTCAGACTTGACATTCATCAGTTGTGATGTTTCAGGCCTGCTTGCAAGTCTCCTCCGTCAATCTCTTTCGGCAAATCATTAGAGTGAGGTGCAATTTGTCGTGGGCTTGTCACAGTTCGATGAGCCTCTTTGTTGCTCGAAGCTCGTAGCCTAAAGATCGCAGCTTGGATCTTCACCTGCGATGGAGATGCCAAAGCGAAACTGCCGTCGCCGCCCTGCTTTGGCCGCTTGTGTCGTACTCGGCCTCAATGCGCTGTTTCCTCTCGGAGATGCCATTTCCATTTTCGGAAATGCAGGGTTTTTTCAGCAAGGTCTCTTTGAGGCTTTCTCCAGCCAGCGGAAGATCAAGCGCTGCATCATGCTCAGGAAGGAAACCTTGTGTCAGAGTGTGGCACGCGGGGAGCCGGTACGGCGCTTCGTCTTCCAGGCTCCTGAGATGGTGAATATCAGCACAGGGCTTCGTCAGGTGGTTGTGGTGCTGGGTCCTGGCCCGGGTGCTTTGCCAATCCCACGAATGTATTCACCTACCTCGGAGCCTCGGTCTGACGGCACCTTCGATCTCGTCGTCCGTGTCTACCGCCAAGGGCAGGTGTCCCGTTGGCTGGATTCCTTGAAGCCCGGCGACTCTGTCAGCATGATGCTTGTCTGAAGCAGTAAACTCAGTCTCACTCTTTTGGGCCGGTGTCGTTTCTTTCGACGTGTTGTGGTTGTTGCAGATACAAGTGGAATTCAATCGAGACAACTGGCAAAGAAAGGATGTGGCCCCACCCTTCGCCTTTGCCAGCAGACCGGCGGAATCCTGGCCGACGCGTTGGTTTGATTGCGTTTGGTATCGGCATCACGGAGCTGTACCGGACCGCAGTGCAAGAGCTGGCGGATCCCAATGTGAAAGAAGTGGTTCTCCTCTACGCCACACGAACTATGGAGGAGCAACAGGCCCGGTCTTCAGATTGAAATGAGAATAATTGTAGTTGATGCTTGCGCAAGTCTGCTCAGATGTCAAGAGGTCTTGCAGCCCGAGATACAAGCTTTGGCAAAGAAGGAGTCTCGATTCCGGCTGGATCGAATTCTGTCACAGGAAAGCCACCCAGATTGCAGGCACGGGCGGGTGGACTCGTCCGTTCTGGAAGAGGTGCAGGGCTTAATTTTGCTCAGGAAACCATTCCCTATTCCTATAATAACTCTCCTTGTGCATGTATGTGGAGGGGTTTGAAGACTGGAATGCAGCCGGCCAGGGAATAGTGCACACGTGCTCAAGACTTTGAGGGTTTGAACATTGTGCAACCTTGCAGAGCCATCTGCGAAATTGATCTCAATTGATCACGAAAGCTGGCTCTGTGGAGCTTGAGTGAGTTGCGGTTTACCAACTCACTTCATGATAGAGAACCAGGCCGAAACTGCACTTAGGAGCTTGTCTCGTCGGTTAACAGTTAACACTGGTTAAACTCGGGAGGGTGGGGGGTGGGTGGGGGGTGAACCACCTCCAGATACCCGTCTCGAAGTCATTTGCAAGTATCTCCGCAGTGTTTTGCGCCGTCTTCCCTGCTGCATGGACCTGGCTGGCAGCACCATGGCACATGCATCTGTTTATCTGCGCATGCTTCGGGTGTCGACCTGGCACATTCAAGCGCCACGCAATTGCGCAATGCCACACAGGCTGTATGCTGTCTGGTTTAGCTTTCGCGGCCCTCTGCTCAAGCAAGTGAGTGTGTTTTTTGAGGGAGAGGGGTCAACAAAATTAAACAGGATCAGACAAAATTAAAAGGATCCAACAAACTTTACGACTTCAATTTGTTGATTTCCTAGCTTTTCGGCTTCCCGGCTTATTGTTGGCTTCCTGGCTGCTTGGCTTCGGCGCTTCTTGGCTCCTCGGTTTCTTGGCATCTCGGCTTTTGCGCCTCGCGGCTTTTCTTTTGATCCTTCCTCGATTTTTGTTGATCCGCTATTCCCAGGAACCGTGCTATTGTTTGCAGCAGATCCCCAAACCCTAAGTTTAGTTTTGATCCTTCTGAATTTTTTTGATCGGTTGAGAGCCTAAATTTGTTTTTGATCCATCTTACATTTTTGTTTGATCCTCCACCCGTTTTTGACATATCTACTGCGATGTGGAGTTGCCGGGTGGCGTGGTGCCAAGAGACTCCAGAAATTCCTGGTAACGTGGAATATTCTTTGCAGGGAAGCGGGATGACTGGATAACGACGCTGTGGCCGCGACAGAAAGCCAGGGGTGCTTGTGACATGAGATGTTTTCGTTGGACAACACGCGCTGACGCTGCCATCATTAAGATGTAGATGGTCTGAAACTTGATAATCAAGTCTGCTTGTTGTAGTCGTGTTATGCCACAACAACAGGGCTGTAAGATTGCAAAGCTACAATTGCTCAACCCTTTGCTGGTGGCAGCATGCACGGCATCACCGTCGCAACAGGGATGGTGTCGACAATGGTGGAGGTCGGTGCACGGCGTTACACTAGACGGTACAGCATCATTATCGGATGTATCCCGGTAAGTGTAGAGACGCCCGCGCAATCGAGTGGACACAGGCAGCTTCGGTGCGTCACTGTCGAGCACTGGGCCAGTTCGCTCAGTGTACTCAGCCACCCGTGTGCATATCTGCACATTCCCGTGCAATGTGCGCACCCTGAGCCACTCGTCTTAGAAGACCGCGTTCACGAGTTGTTGGAAAATCATAAGGCTTCACAAGCTGAGCTCCACAAGTTGTGAATTCCCACTGCGGTGAGTCATAGAAGGTGCAGTGCACAGCCACTGCCAATCGCGACTAGCCCTAGATGTCAAAGCACGGACGTTCGTGCCACTCGTCCCATCAAAAACCAAGCAGATTCAAAGTTGAAGGCTGCAAACCAGTGACGTCTTTGAGCCACATTCGGACCGTTCCTTTGAAGGTGTTTCCTTGGTCGCAAGACGCAAACTTGCGTGCGGAAGCCCGCTTCGTGTCTGCTGGATCGCAAGAGATGATGAAGCACGCTCATGACTTACTTGCTGCACTCGGCTACGATCCTCGGAGCACCATGCCTGCAGTGAGACATGATGTGTGTAAAGATTTGCACAAGACTGTTTTATAGCTTCTCAGGCTACAAGCTCATTCGTGATGCCAGCTTGTCGTCTGTCTTCCAGCTGTTTGCAAGATAGAGGGAGAGTTGCGGCGGGCGGCACAGCATGCATCGCCAGACTTGTACAGTCAGTTTTGGGCCTATGACGATTCCAGTTAATTTCTGGATCTGCCTGGCTACATTTGCCCTCCGGGCCCTTCTCCCGAAAGGTCCCCAGTAGTCTCTGGACCTGCCGGGCTTCATGAGCGCAAATCTTGTTGGACAGCCGAGCACTCGTGAGACAAGATGCCGCTCACATGTCGATCCTCGGGTCTCACAGCCCGTCTGCAGGGTGGGCATTGTCTTAGCAAAAGCCCGGAGAGCTACAGAATACAGAAGAGATTCTGGAGGGTCCAGCCGTCTGTGTGTGTGCGTGTGTGGTTTAGGGTTTCTGGGTCTTGGCAAATGCACGGTGATGAAGCAGTAAGTAGTGCTGCTGTCTAGTGAGAAACCTTATAATGACAGCAAGGATAGAGCCAAAGGAGCAAATGCGACGGCGAGCGGCGGAGATTCTCCAGCTGCACGGACAAGACAACAAAGCTCGAAAGGCTCCACGTGAAATGCTTTGTTCCGCCCCTGAACTCTCAACCCCTAAACCCTAAACCCGTGAGGTTCGGAGTTCGGAGCCGGAGCCTCTGGCCGGAGAGCTGCTCCCCAACCCAGGCATCCCCCGGAGCCGACAGCCGAAGCCCTTAGCCTCCATGAAGCCTTAATGCAAAAAGCCTTCTGACAGATGGGTATATATATATAATTATATATATATATACATACATATTAACACATGTGTATATATATATATATATATGTATACATACACACCTATGTATAAAAAAACATATCAGATCGGCCTTTCAAGGTCGGCGGAAGTGAGACGAATCTGAGAGGCTGCACCGCTCAAAAAATCCTGTCGAGCCCACTGCAGTGTGCATCAGAATGGTTGGTGTTGCAGTCGATGCACTTGTGCATGCGTGTGACCAAAGCCTTGAGTCACGGCCATCAAAACATTTAACCGGCACTATCCTCGCAAACCTTATGCATGTGGTACCAACTTCCGAAGCGTTCGTCTATTCGATATTGCGTTCAGTTGGGTGCCAGCAAGAAAGATGTGCGTGCAACGCCGTTCTGGCGGTGGCAGGTCGAAGCCTCAATGTGAACGCATGTCTGTGTATCAGTGTCGGTGAATGTGCAGAACGTCATCATGTTGGTTCAAGGTTGATTATGCAGCAGGTTTGGTGATTAGGCAGTGTGGAGTTTTGTCATCTCAGTTTTGCAGCAACGTGTCCGGATGATAGGGTCCGAGCTCAGGCTTTGCCGGTGGAGCCATGAAGGCAGCCCGCATGGTTGACTTGTCATCGCGCGATCTTCGAGTTGTCCGTATTGTTTGTGCGATGCACGCCGCTGTTTGTGATAGCAGCGTTTCGTTTAGAAAGCAAGACTTCTGCAAGGACAACTTGTGGGATCCGAAAGAGAGACTTTGTCGTTTCGAAGCCACGTTGCTGTTCATCACGGGCTGTCATCAAGATGTTCACTCGCAGCCACTTGACAGCAGATTGCAGTGCTGCAAGCACGCAAAGCATGTTTGCCAAGCCATGCCCATCCCATTTGCAGAGTCCGACGCGAAACAGCGTTGGCCAGACGTGAATTTGGTGGTTGCAGATGCATACGATGTTCGTGCGCAGCATGTGAAAGGTTTGACAACAAACCTGTGGCATTCTCGGGAAGATGGCGACTTCGTGTTTACAGTTGCCGGAGGGACAATTCGTGCACACAGTTGCATTCTGTCTGCTGCATCACCAGTGTTCAAAGCCATGCTGGCAAGTGGAATGACAGAAGGGCTTTCTTCATCCGTCCTGCTTGATGCCGAACCGTCTGAACTGCTAGCCATGCTCCGCTTCATTTATACGGGCGAGTTGGACGCGACAGCACAGCAGCTCCCTGGAGTGTTGGCATTGGCTCATCGTTATGAAGTACTGAACATGATTCCGCCACTTTGTGAGGCCATGATTGACAGCCTGAATATTGACACAGCAGCTCCCTACATACGGGTGCTACGATTGCTTGAAGGGTGTCCAGGCGTCTTTCAGAGACAGCCTTCAGAGAGCCGGAAGTACAAGACCGTCGAAAGCTACGATTCGCCTGGCCACGGGCTGCGGTCAACCGAAATGCAAGCTTGGATGGCGCTGCCGGCGACGGGAAGCTTGCCAAGCATTCCACCAGCCGTCCGCATAGCCGGGCCGGTGCTGTCCCAGTCCAGCCCGGGGGAGGAGGCGCGACGCGGGGCTGAAGCCTGATGTTGACTACAGCACGAAAATGCGGCCTCCCTTTAACGCCGCGCGGCAGCCTGCAGGCATCGTCAATCAAAGATGGCGCTTTGAGCACTGGCGGCCCATCGTCACCATCAGGCCTCGAAGCCCGGTGAGTTTGCGCCTGATGTGATGTAAGCTCCCGTTCTCCGCCAGTGCAAGGTGATGACTGTCGAGTGGAAGCCGCCTCTCCGATGCTTTGCGCCCCATTACTCTGTCCTGTTTGCATTGTGCACCACTGTGCTTTGTGCAAAGGCCCTGGAGCACTGCACACTGCAAACATCCGAGGATCTCGCAAGCTTTCCTTGCCGTAGCGCAGCGGAGGCTTGGCAGAAGATTATCCGGTTGATGCGACATATATGATGACAGGTGTTACATCAGGAAGACCGTGTATGCTTGATGAAAGACTTGAGGCGAGGTGAGGTGCCCCCCTTGTTCCAAGGATTGCAGAAAGCCCTGAGCTTCTTATGGCAACTCTGCGCGCTTTGTGAGCTGAGAACGGGCAACAAAGATTGCCTTCCGCTGAGCTTTTCCGAACTTCAGGGGGCAGTGGAGGTCGCAAAAGCGATGCTCCACTCTACTTTATGCGGCAGGCAGCAACGCTGCGACTGGAGTTGGATTGATCGTTGGAAGGTTCCTCTCGTGAATTACCGAGAGGAATTCCTACGGCAACCTGAGGGAAAGAACACGTGCTTTGTTGTTGGACTGTTGTCGATGGCCGGAAATGACGAGTATCTGGAGTTTGTGCGGAAGGTCCCACCTCCCACCACAGAGCAGCTGGTGGACAACGTCCTGCGAAAAGCACAGGCTTTGCGAGGCCTTGCCGTGGCCCTCGTTGTTTGTTGTCGCCCGGTCGGTGCTGGAACACGTGGCAGGCGCTCCAGTTCGAGAGCAAGACCAAGCGAGCAGGCATGGCAAATTCGATTTCTGCCACCTTCGTGGTTTTTTGCTACTCCTCTCTGACACGACCAAGCGGGGTGCCTCGGGATCCTGAAGCTTTGCTTCCGTGGTAACTTGAGGACTCAGCCGGCACGAGGCTCGAACAGCACCACGCGCATGTGGCTCAGAGGCTGAGGGCGATGAATTCGGGTGTGCCGAGAGACATGAATGCGAGGTCCGACAGACGGACGTGTCACTGAGCTGGTCTCCAGGGTGTTGATCTCTCAGTCGCATCTGCACTTCTGTGTGTAGTGTTGTTTGAAGTCTGAAGCTCGTCTCAGGCTGGATGGTGCCGCTCGTTTTGTGCGTGGCACGGGCGCCTGCCTGAGGGATGAAAGGAAGACCGGGACGAGTGAGAAGCCACCGATCCGACTCTGCCTGCCCTGCCAGCACCGCCTGCTCAGGTCTGCTGAGGGGTCGCCGCAAGTCTCGCGACTCGGAGCCTCCCCAGGAGCCAGGCCGAACTGAAGCGCCGCCTACGCCTCCTCCTGGCCCTGGTGCTGGCACTGGCGGAGCCAGGCCTCAGGGACAGTCCACGAAAAACTGGAGCCGAGAGGGTTTGGAGCCCTGTGGTGCGGGCTCGACTCGTGTGAGGAGCGATGCTCCAGATTCGCACCCTCCCGATGGAGGCAAGAACACCGAAGACATCTTCTGGAGCGGCGAGAAGGCTCTGCCGGAGCTACTCCTGAACCAGAAGCAAAACATCACAGAATGTACATTCCGAGCGAAAGCTTTGCGTTGCGTGGTACGGAAGCCTCCACAAGCTGGAGCTGTTGGAGTGGGGAGGGGGTGGGTTCTGCAGCCGCAGGTGCCAGAAACAGCTGGTGTCGATGCACCGGATGCGCCCTCGCTGCTATCTTCGCCACCTAGACGGCACTATGGTCCGTGAAACCGTTAGAATCCGTTAGGCCTGGAGGAGATACTTAGACGAATATCAGCTGCAGGCCATGGGAGCTTTCTGCCACAGGCCTCTTCTTGGTGGTTTGGAGAAGACATCCGCGCTGTGTCCATCTCCCAGGCGTCCGATCTCAAGGATCCGGCATTGGTGGCCTGTCCCCGGTTCCTTGGCAGGGAGAGCCGTCGCATGCCCAGGACTTTCACTTGCAACGTGGTTGATGGCTCTCGCTCAGCCTGTGCAGTCGGAGACTTCTGCAGCGACCCGCAGAAGATGTTGTGATATGTTGCAAAGCCATTACGGCTTCCAGCTGTTCTTGACTGATTGGAGAATGAATAGAGCAACCGCAGGCCATGAGATGTTCTGTAACATTCGTCGTTCACAGCCAGCTAACGAGTGAGGAAGCGCATTCCAGATAAGATTCTCAAGAGGCTGAAGGTAACAGGCCCCTGAATGGCAGCAAGTTTCTCTGGAGAATGTCGGTCCGAGTGAGCCGAGCTCGATTTCATATCCCGACAAAGACTCAATGCGAGACTCGGGAGACTCCTTTGGAGCGAGCTAAAGAAGTGGCTTCGTCTAGCCACCCTCCACGGCCTGCAGAGAATCTTCAGAATCTTCAAGCGGTAGAGCCGGTAGAGCCTGCAGCAAAAGTCAGGAAGTTGGCGGAGGTTGTGAAACCGGTGTCTATAGCAACGCCACTTCGAAACTCGATTCTGCCAGATGGGGCCGACTGGAGCGGGGTCACGGTCGTGTTTGCAAGTGACCTGAGCAGCGTGGCTCAAGAGGCTGTGGAGAAGCAAATCTTGCAAGCTGGTGGCAAAATTGGTGCTGCAATCTCGCAGCGAACATCCTTGGTCGTTCTGGGAGGCAACCTTCCAGATGGAAGGCCCCCGATGGAGTCTGCCAAGTATCAGCGCTTTCTGGATTTGCAGTCCAAGGGAAAGGTACAGGCCAAGGTGCTCTCCGAGGCAGCCTTTCTTAGCCTACTGCCCACTCAGCCTCCTGCCGCAACTGCCGCCATTCCACAGAGTTCCATTCCACCAAAAGAGAAGCCGGAGCCTCCTCAGAGCGCCAAGTCCAAGCAGCTCGAGAGTTCCAAGAGTTCTGCTGCACGGAATTGGGTCGATATCTTCTCTCCGAAGAAGCTGGAAGATCTCCTTGGGAACCAGGCTCCCATTCGGAAGCTGGCAGATTGGCTGCAAGACTGGGAGGATGTAGTGCTGCGTGGGAACAGCAAGAAGCTTGCCTTTCGACACGGGAGCGTACCTGACAACTTGAACGTGCTGGCGCCCAGTTGAAATCCCTCGCCTTCAGCCGTTATGGAAAGCCATGCAAGCCTCGCAAGGCCAGAGCTGCGCTGGCTCGGGACTCAGAGCATTGTCATGAGGTTTCTGAGTGTGTCCTTGCATCGCCAGGTGAGCGGGCCACCAGGGATCGGGAAGACTACAACTTGCCGACTTGTAGCCCAGTTGCAAGGGCGATATGAGGCTCAATGAGCAGACCATGTGTGCCACTTCCCGCACCTTCCTTCAGTACGTGGCAGGTCTTGGAGTTCAACGCCTCGGACTCGAGAGGTCAGAAGGTGATCCAGGCCACAAACAGATGCCACGAGTCGGTGACTGGAGCCGCGAAGCCCCGACCGGAGGAAATGGCGTCAGGCATAGCCGAGAACACAACCATTTCTTTCGCAGGCTCAAGCTGCCTTTTCAAAGAGTCTACTGCCTTAGCTTGCATTTCTCTTGGCGAGGTGGTCGGCAAGGGCAAAGGCACCAACAGACTGTTGGCTGGTTCCAATGCAGAATGTGGCTCCGCAGGAAAGTTGTAATCATCATGGACGAGGTTGATGGAATGGGTCTTGCGCTCAGGTAGGTCTCTGCACCGACCATGGGCTGCTAAATGGATTGTCGAGGTGGTGGGGACAAGGGTGGCATCGCTGCCCTCGTCAAAATGATCAAGAGGATATGTGCACGAGTTCTGCATTTTAGACTCAGTGTAGGCCATAAGTGCAGGCTCAGCCGGTTTTTGCCCAGTGGCACAAGAAAGATGTTGGCTCCAGGACCCGCAATCCCATCATCTGCATTTGCAATGACCAGCATACCCAGCAGGCGTCTGGATTTTTGTGACGCTCCGTTTTCATGGCATATGGGCGTTCCACAGGTGAGATCTTTGGCGTCCAGCTGCTACGACCTGAAGTTTACCAGGAGCCGGGGCAGCTGGGGCAGCTCTCGGGATCTGGCGCTTCAATGTGATTGCTGGGTATAGTACATGTGCAAGGCCTCCGAAGAATGCGATAGCGCAACGGTGTGCCCAGATCGCGAGGCGGATTTCTCGAGAAGACGGCTTTCAGCACATCTGAGTGGCTCCATGCTGCCTCGCCTCCTCGCCTCCTCGCCTCCTCGCCTCGCAGGCAGCAGGGCCTTCAGGTCGATGTGGCTGCGGTGGAGGCACAGCTTCGGCGACGGAGGTCTTTGAGTCTTTTGGCCCCTTTTCTTCAAGCTGGTGCCCCTGAAGGCCATAGTGGAATCCTCCGGCAACGATGTGCGGGTCGTCTCGGGCTCAGGCTGCTCAGGCTGCTCAGGGCTGGTGTTCCGATGACCTCTCCGGCTCCTGGTTTCTGCACAGGTCCTAAACCATTTGCAGATGATGAAAGCCGCACGGAAAGCCACTCCGAGGCCTCGACCGTAAAGTGCTGTAGATGTCAGTCAGCAATCTCAGACTCAGCACCCGCTGCCGCAGCACCGCCTTTGCTCTGTATGGAGCTTACCCCTGCACGCAGCGCATCTGTCCCGCTCTCGCCTCCGTGCTGTCGTACCCCATTCCGAACTTCACGATGTCGACCCGTAATTCCCATACGCATACAGTGCATGCTCGTGAATGCTTGACACGGTTGCTCATCGGTAGCTCCATCTCCTGTTCTTTCAGCCGAGCTTCCCGTTCTGCCCTCCAACAGCCAGCTTCTCTCCAACTTGTCAGAAAGAGAGTCTGAGCTAGAAGCCTGCTTCAGGGTGTCACTGAGCAAATCAGGAATGGAACAGACATCACGAGTTGGAGTTGCTCTCTCACAGAGACAGGTTTCCCTTGGTTCGGGCTTCTACACAGTTGCTGTGCTATGGCCGAGTGCCCACTTCTGAGTTGCACGTTGCAGTTGCTCCATCTTGACGGAGAGCCCGGGTCGACTTGGCAGCCCAGCTAAGTGTGTGAGCAGATCGTTCGCTGCAGTGCAAATGTGGCAGTGCCTGAGTCCATTAAGGCAAGGATCAGGAGGTGATGCTCAGCCCGTTCGACGTGTGCCTTGGGCGTGAGATGTCGTAAGTTCATGTTTTGCATGGCCTGCTTGTGGATTTCCCAGCGAGGTGTCGGAAGCTGCTGACGTCGTCGGAGGCCCCTGGCAAGACCATCAGTTGCGTGTGAAGCGGCTGCGCGAGCAGCTGCTGTTGAAGCGAGGCAAATTTACATGCATTTCAAGCCCGCTTCGAGATGCAGGGGCCCTATGTAGGGAGAGGTGGAGAAGGAAAGGGCAACGCAGGGAATGGATGGAAGGAGGAAGTAACAACAGGATAGATGCTCTGTTCGGCATGCTGTGTCTTCTGCACGTATCTGAAGCTGCTATGCTGTACATTCTGCACACTGCCGCCCACGTCAAAGGTTCTTTGTGGACCACTCGCTCGTTAGCATGCCTGGTGCCCGGACTCGGAGAAGAACAGCAACCTGAAAGAGAGCTGTGGAAGTGTCAGTGGCAAGCCTCCGCGTCAGCAGATGTCAGGCTCGTGCACGAGAACTACTTGCGGTCGATGGAGAGACAGCCGGCCATGTCCTCAACCCTCAGCCGTCCTTAAAGTTGCCAAATGCTGAGCTCTCGTCAGGTCAGCTCCGAAGTGCTCAATCGATGTGCATACTCTGCAGATCTCATGACCATCGGTCTGAGCCTCGGTGTCGAGGCGACCTTGGCAAGATGGTCGGACGCTTCGCACAGCACCGCCGTGCGCTGGGGCCGTTTGTGCGAACGGCCTTCAGGTGATATGATGAGTCAACGGATGGTTGTGGAGCAGGCAAGAGAAGAACAGGCAAATGCAGGGCCGTGTGCTGTTTGGCATCTCAGGAATGGAGTTTCCTACCGCACTGTGCGGCCCTGTGCTGAGATCAGCCATGAGTCTGGCAGGGATCTCGCAAGAAGTCGTCAGTTCGGCGAACAGCCTCCGCAGGAGTTCGTGGTACAAGCAAGTACTGAAACAATGTGTCCGCAGCAGCCTCTTTGTTGAGGCCGTGGCGTGTGCCTACCCGACCTTTGTTACCAGAGGAAGCCTTGTGTGGGGCTCAGCTGCTCAGCCTGTTCCATTCAGAACTAGACTCCACACGAGCTGCCAGGCCTATCCCAGCTTCCCTTCCATCATGGGCAAGATGTCTTCACGATCCAAGTCCAGGCGATACTCGGGGCACCTAGCGAAGTCCTAAGTATCCCTAAGAACGGTTTATCTTTATTATTATTATCTTTATTAATACTTTTATTATTGTTATTATTATTATAGAAGCTTGGCAGGCGCCTCGTCTCAGAGCTGCAGGCGCCGGGCCTTCTCGGTTTTCCTCGTTTCGGCTGCACCGTCAGCTGACTTTCGAGGATTCATGCGCGCGCCGGCGCCTTTCGGCTTCAAAAGCTTGCCTTTCAAGAGCAAACATCCTTCCCAGGAGTGTTTTTGGTCACCCCGTGAAGAGGCAGACAGTGCAGGAAACTCGCGGAAAAGCACAAAACTGTCAGCGCAGTTGTAGATCTCAATATGGAGAGACGTGCAAACGAATGCTGCCAAAGACGTCGCAGAAGCTCTTCGGCTGCAAAGCACGTTGATTTCCCACAGACTCGCTCATTGCCTTTCGAGTCGGTCCTATTGCTGAGGTTTGCACTGGGTGACGGAAAACGAGAGATCTTCTGTGTACGGCCCCTTGCCTTCGGTCTAGCGGCAAAGATGTACGGTCAAATGCGCTTCAACCACACATCCAGCAGCTTCCGCAGCCATGCAGAACAGTCCTCCCAAAGAAACTTAATGGTACTCATGCTGCATACAAGGAAACGGGCAAGGCCGATTTTGACATTAACATGGTGACTCCTCAGTTGCCTCGGTCTGACGAACCTCATGCAGACACTGTTTACTGTAAGATCGTCATTTTGACGCATACGGCATACGCATCATAAATCCCGAACCTC